CGGTTCAGACAATTGTGATTTTTTTGCAGTGCTCCAAATTACTGAAAGACACAGAAATCAAAATTAAAGTAGCATTTCTATCAGAAGGAATCTTTTAACAAGCTAAGAGTTCTCTTCAGCCACTACTAAGTGAGCAAGTGATGAACATTGATTTTTTTTGCTGATTTGCTTCCTAATTAAAAAAAAGAAAATCCATAAATCTAATTGAAATGTCAAAGATAGTTAAGTTACTCCAGGCCAAACTGCCTTTTAAGGAATGCAGTGCCCTCTCAGTCATCTCCACCTGTATGTGTAGCAACTCTTAACATGAATACACTTCTAACTGGAGAGTTAAAAGTGAAGGTTACATGGCCGGTCTGTGTAAACACTTAATTTTATCGGCTTACATGGTCCCTGCAACAGCAACTTCATTTTAAAACCAAGATGAAGTAACATGGAGGAAAAAATCAAGAAAGGGAAATACAAGCCCTTACCTGGCTTGTAGAAGAACTGACATTTAATTTGAGTTTTACAGGTAGGCTGGAGATATATCTGGTAAGTGCAGGGGAAGTAGATCCTCGTCCTACTTTAGCTAAGGAGAGATCTGCCACATTCTGTAAGAGAAATAGGATTCATCCTTTATCAAAGGTACAATTTGCAGGTAGGTCCCCAGTTCCCACTAAGTTAGTGTGAGTTCAACACCTAACTACCATTTATATCATTATAAAAAATCTTCCCACAATAATGCACCTTTTTACAGGTGCCAAAAAACCCAGTCTGGTTCCCTGCAGTGCTCCATACAACATTTTGTGTGACAGTACTTGGAAACTTTTCAGTGTCCTGATTGTACTTTAAATAATATTTTATTTTAATATAAATAAATAATAAATAAATAATATATTAAATATTATATTATTAACATTATTATAGTTATAATATATAATTATAATTTAATAATGATTAATTATTAAATGTTAAATATAATAAATAATATTTTTATTTATTTTAGGTTCAGACAGACAAGCTGAAGCAAAGATTAAGAAAGATGCACCAGTCATTGTACTTAGCGGAAATAGATGCGAGACACTGGAAGCGGCACAAATGTGGATCAAAAGCATAACAGAAGTCCAGAAAAGTCACCTTTTCCGGATAGAAAACCACCACATTTTTAACTTTGGCAAAAAGGAGTTTGTGGAACTGTCTCGTCAGCAGTCCTTGGGTGTGTCCATATCAGAAGAGGTGAAAGGTGGAAAGACCAGATTAGAGATTCAAGGTTCTCCTGATGCTGTGATTGAAGCAGTATTTGCAATTGAAAACATGCTGTATTATGTGCAAGAGAAGAATATAGTCAAACAAGAGGAAATGCTGCTGTCTGAAGGTGAGTGGGGTTAAATTAGTAAGAACAAAGAAATATGGAAAAGTTTTGGTACAGATACTGCCCGTATTTAGGTGAGCATGTCTTACAGTTCTGACATACGATGAAAAGAATCCCTGTGCTTAAATGCTATATATTTTTGGTAATGGATGCTATCCACGCTTGAGAGATCACAGGTTAGCCTGTTAACTTCAGTTGACTTGCTGGACAAGTATTGCCAGAGGACTGCAATTTATTTCAGGTAGGTCTGTAATTGCATTGCCAACACCCACCTGGGGTTCCACTAGGAAAGGGCAGCTGAGACTCCTGGGAAATGCACTTAATCAGTAAAAGTCTTACATGATTTAATTAAATATCCTGTTACTTGTGTCCAGGACAACAGGGAACTGATCCTATTTCAGGAAGACACCAACACCAGACAAGACCATCCACAATCCAGTACCAGACCATGCTGGTAGAACCGAAATGTCAGGAATTCGGGGACAGAAAGAGATATTTTGAAAAAAACGGTCTTCGGATTCTTAAGGTGAAGAGAATGTATTTGGTCAAATAATTGTGAATGAACCTTAAGGCAAACTTTGTGTTCAGGCCCCAAATGGAATTAAGAATTTAAAAAAAAAAAAATCAAAACAAATACGCCTCAGAGGATTGAGTAGACAGCGAGACTGGGAATGAAGCTTAAATCTATTGCTTAATGAAAAGGACTTTTTGTTTAAAAAAAAACACATTGGAGCTGATCTCTCGAAAAGATGTGGTTAGATCCTTATTTTACATTTGAGAAGTTACTATAAAAATCTGCCTTACGCTTTGCAGCCACAAGTGCTGAGTTAGTCGAGTCTGAGTGATAGGGAGGCTGATTTGCCCTCGAGGGAGTCAGTAGTAAACTCCAGGACACAAAGCTGGAGGGCACATGCATGTGCCTGTGGGGGCGAAACATATCTGATGAATGTAGAACAGAATTGAGGCAGGACATCTTAGGTTTACCCCTATGAATGTCTGCTACTTAGACAACAAGATTTTGCCACCGTAGGGGAAGCCAACAGAAAGCCTGGGTAAGTGTGGCATGACTTCTGCCATAATCCCTTGAACAGCGAGCGCTTCCTGGGCTTCATGGCTGTCGTAGTGAAGCTGCAGGAAGCCACACAGGTGACAAGGTATTGTGGTGATTTCCTGATGGCAGTGACTGTCTGTTGGCAGAAGACTTGTAATGCAGGCAAGCCTCTACTGAAACTAGACAAGAATCAAGGATGCAGAACCTCTCGCTGGCCGTACACAACCCCTGGCAGAGCCTAAGTACATACACAACACTCATTAACACAACTCACCCATGAGATACCACTGGAGTAGGGCACAATTCATGCTGGCTTCAGTGGTGTCGTGGAAACACACGCAGCATACTTTTGGGTCAAGTCAGCAGAAGCTTTTATTTAAAAGAAACTACAGCTGTAGGGGGGATTCCAAAGTGACATGGATTTCCCAAGCACTTGGAAGGGGTCCCCCCCAAGAGCAAAATCAGGAGGCTTATAGACTTTTTAACAGTTGCTTACAACTCACGTGATCATATAGTGAAATTAGCATGAAAAGCGGCTATAATATTACTTTATTATTTCTTTGCTGTAATCAGGATGGGAACTAATGGGGGAGGCGAGGTTAGTTCACAAACCTCCTTCTTGCACCTGGAAATCAGATTTGTACATACTTTTTTGCTATCTTCAAGGCCGCGGTGAGCGAAGCAGTTGCAGAGGAGTTACAAAGAACATACACTTTCTCTTATCTGTTCTACTATACAGAGCCAGCAATTCTCCACAAAGCGGTTATGTCATCTTATAACTAAAATAATCAAAGTTTAAGGCGCATATTTTTTCTGATTCCACAGTGGAAAGCACCATGGCCCTGGTTCTTCCTCCCTTAGACAGACCAACTGCCTGGCTGGTCAGCTGAAGGCAAGAAGGGCTGCTTCTTAAAGAACGGCACTTAGATAAGTGGCAGCATAAGCCTCCAATCCTCCATCAATTTATACCGAGTCTCATTTATCTTGCAGATAGAGAAAATACACAATCCTGTTTTATCAACGGTCTTCCAACAGCTTCAAAGAAATGCAGAATTGAAAAATAAAGGCAAGCAAGTGTGTCAAAGGCTGTACCAGCGTGTTCCCGCTCAGTTTTGTAGGCTGGTGTGCCGAGCTGGTTTTCAGAGACTGTATTCCCCTCCACCAGGTAATTCACTGCTTTCCTCTGCAATATCGTTGAAAGACGACAGAAACATGTCATGGTTTACTTCATTTTATTCTCCACCCCCCTCCCAAATAATATTGCCATTTTCCCAAGCTGTCCAGTTACTGTTGTTGCTACATACAGAACATTTAACACCATCAAATGTTCAGTGCTCCAGAGTATTTTGCTTCTTTAATAAAAAAAACAACACACAAAACAGTTCTTGGCTACTACATTTCAGTGAAGCTCAGAAAAAAATAGCTCCTTGTTATACAAGAGATCAGCTTCTGTATGTATTCAGAGCCATACCTGCTTGCCTCAGTGAGATTTTAACTACCTGCCATTCCTTCTATTAATACAGCCTGCCCACACAGCTCTGCAATTATACAATCCAGTTCTTTCTCGCTGGTGGATCATTAACAGGACTGTAAGCACCCTCTAATTATAGAACACTTATTACAGGTGATTATTTAGGCGCTAGAAAGAACTCAGATCTACTTAGATCAGGCTTAGTTTGGGCACTGGTGTTTTTTCTTGCAGCAGTTTGGCATTGGTGAAGTTATATCAGTATAAACGTAAAACCCAGGAAAAACCCCCAGCTTTAATGGACTCGAAACTGAGGCCTACCTTTTCACTTGAAAAACATCAATTGAAAGGCCTTGTCCATCCAGAAACATCCTTCAAGGGCGAGCTAAGTCCTTATTTACCCTCTTTAAAGTCTATGTTAATAATTTACTTGGATGTTTAAAATCAACACATTATGAATCTCAGCAGTGATGTTGGAGCTATACACAATAAAAAACAGTCTCTAGAGTTCACAATTAAATGGACAGTGCATTTCAGCCAAGTGATACAGAAGATGCATTTGTTACTGAGCACTGCAAGATTTTAGCATCACATCTCAATTTAGTTTTTTCTAGAGATGGAGATCATCATGGCTTTCACAAAACATTAAAATAGTTTCTAGTCCAAAGTTTTTTTTGAAGGTGAAGATTGGAATTTAGGCATTAATACCATGTGGCAATCTGCCCAACTGCTATCATGTCAGGCCCTTTGATTATTAGCTCTTCAAAAAGCAGCAATATGCCTTAACCTAAGATATACCTGGTGTGAAAATGGGAGAACTAGAGCTAACATTCTCTTAAAACAAAGTAAAATTTCAAAAGAAAGGATTCAGATTCACAACACTGAGATTGCTATTGATTACTACTTACTACACTGTCCACTGCTACCCGTTAAACGTTGACACAGATTCTTCCCTCTGATAACCAGATTTCTCAATTTCCCTTTAAGACAGGAGGAGTTGTGTGCAAGTATCTCAGGGCAGAATATAGACATCTAATTTAAGATTGGTGTAAAGCATCAGGAGACATTAGTTCTTCCCCCCAGCTTTATTACTTGCAGAAATAGTCCAATGTGAAAGGCAGAGAAAATGCAACCTGGAATCAAGAATTCAAGTCGTCGTTGCTGGAACCATGAAGAATCTGTCATTCTAAAATAACTTTTTTCCCTTTTTTCTTTCAGAAAAAGCATATGGATCTGGTATCTACTTTAAAAAGAACCCCAGAAACTTAATAGAGGATAATGAGCAATGTGACAAGGACCATCTTATTTGTGTATTTGAGGCAGAAGTAATAACAGGCTCTTATGCCAGAGGTGGGCCATCTTGCATTGTGCCACCAGCCTTTGAAGTCGATGGTAAAAGTACATACAAATTTGACAGTGTAGTAGATGATGTCCACGACCCCACCACCTTTGTCATTTTTAACAGCAAACAGGCTCTTCCAAAATATTTGCTCACTTGTCACCAGATTCAAACTGATGGTCCAGGATCTTCTTGGATCTGTAGCAAAATGGCAGGTTGGAGTTTACCAGGATTATGGGGTAGTAAAGAATCACCGAACCACGAACACAGAGGCTCTCCCAAAACAAAGTACTAGTATTACCAACGGTACTGCAGAAATAGTGCCTTCTAGGCCAGTGCTGGCTGAAATATCCACATTTGTATACAATTAAACTACATACAACTTTATACTGGAGTAGGGTCCTGAATACAGTTTCTAATTCTCTTATTGGTTAAGATAGCACAGAAGTTTTATTTTTCCATATGTATCCAACGCTATGCATTTTAAACATAGAAACCTTAGTCGAGTTTGAATTCATGTTTAGTCACAGAAATTATGTTTTTTCTATAACTGAAGCAATGCCTTATCAACATGAAATAACACTGTGCAAAATAATTACAGTGGTTTTACTTAAACATTTATTTACATTGTTAATTTGATTATTGTATTTTGAATTCAGGTGGGATACCTATCGTTATACCTACAGGACCCACATTAGTCAGTTGAGAAGTAATGTTTCATAGCTTCTAATGATCGCCAAATGATCTTTATTTGCAGATTTTAGTAGCTAGTTTTGTTGCAGTTTTATTGAAGTAAAATAAACTGACCAAAAATAAACCGACTTGTTGCCATGTTCTGATTTCTCCTCTCAACAGGGCATTAAACACTGCTGAGTGACAATATTCAAGCCTCCCTTAGCAACCAAGACAGTGTTCAACATGGCCTTCTTTGAAA